GGGCGTCTCTTGCCGCCAAAACCAGCCTCCGCCGTTAATCCTGAACCTGCCCGGAGTCGATCCAGGGGTGCCCTGGGTCTATCAGCAGTGCCCCGAATCGAGCCAAGGGTGCCCTGAGCCTGCCAAGTGCCCCGAGTTAATCCAGGAGTGCCCTGAGTCTATCGAGCGCTCTGAGTTAATCCAGGGGTGCGTTGAGTCTGTCGAGCCTGCCCTGAGTTAATCCAGGGGTGCCTCGAGTCTGTTGAGGGTGCCCTGAGTCTGCCAAGAGCACCCTGAGTTAATCCATAGGTGCCTTGAGTCTGCCAAGAGCACCCTGAATTTATCCAGAGGTGCGCTGAGTCTGTCAAGAGTGCCCTAAATCAATCCGGGGTGCCATGAGTCTGCTGAGGGGGCCCTGAGTCAATCCAGGGGTGCCCTGAGTCTGCTGAGGGGGCCCTGAGTCAATCCAGGGGTGCCCTGAGTCTGTCAAGGCTGCCTTGAGTTAATCCAGGAGTACCCTGAGTCTGCCAAGAGTGCTCTGTGTTAATCCAGGTATGCTTTATGACTAAAATACAGGGGTGCCCCGAGTCAATCGAGGGTGCCCCGAGTCATTCCAGGGGTGCCGTGAGTCTATTAAGGGTGCCCTGTGTTGATCCAGGGGTGCCCTGAGTCTGTTGAGGGCGCCCAGTGTAGATCCGGGGATCCTCTATATGACTGACCCAGGGGTGCCCTGAGTCAATCCAGGGATGCTCTATGTCTATGATCCAGGGGTGCCCTGGGTCTATCAAGAGTGCCCTGAATCGAATCAAGGGTGCCCTGAGTCAATCCAGGGGTGCCCCGGGTCTATCAAGAGTGCCCTGAATCGAATCAAGGATGCCCTGGGTCTGCCAAGTGCCCCGAGTTAATCCAGGAGTGCCCTGAGTCTATCGAGGGTGCCCTGAGTTGATCTAGGGATGCTCTTTCTCTATGATCCAGGAGTGCCCTGAGTCGATTAAAGTCTAAAAGGGTTGGAAACCACCTGTCCAGTATCTTGATCTTATCTTGAAGTCTCCTTCCTTATCATATTGCTCCTCTCCTGCGAGCCTTTCCCTGCTCAGCACTGCCTATTCACAGCAACCTGCTCCCTTTCACAACCTGACGTGGCCCTTGGACATTTTTAAAGACATTTCTAAGTGAGAAATGTTTATGTTCCTTAAGACTCCTTCTTGAGTCTACTAGGGATGCTCGAGGCACATGTTCAATCTTAGTGCCATATGCATGAGGACTAGAAACAACTTTCTTTCTGAAAGAAAGTGAAAATTGACAGAACAAGGAGCAATGGTCTCAAGTTGCAGCAAGAGAGGTTTAGGTTGAATATTAGGAAAAACTCTCTCAGTAGGAAGGTAGTGAAGCCCTGGAACAGGTTACCTAGAGATGTGGTGGAATCTCCATCCTGGGGGGGGTTTTAAGGCCTGGCTTGACAAACCCCTGGCTGAGATGATCTAGCTGGGGCTGGTCCTGTTTTGAGCCGGGGGTTGGACTAGATATGACCTCCTGAGGTCCCTCCCAACCCTCATTTTCTATGATTCTCTGATTCCTGAGTGTTTGTCTGAGCTAAGGATCAAGGACATTAAGGAAAGCACCAATTGTTGCAAAGACCATGGAAAAAATGTAGGGGTAGGATTTAATTTTAAATTGTGATCAGAGATAGAAATTATTTTTAACAGAACATTTAAATGCATAGTCATACTTGCCTATCATCATATCTGGTATTCACTTGTTTTGAAAGGTACATGACCAGGTTTTATTCTTTTATTCATCCCATTAGAGAGAATGATGTTCCTAAACTCATATTAGAGTTAACAAAAAAAGTTGGTTTGTACACCTGCCACGGCATTAATCTGGAGTCTTACTGATGAGCAGTGGTAAAAGTGTGCATGGGAGATGAGGGGCAGGGAAGGTGTGTTGTGGACCAAACAGCAACTATGTAAATCTAAGTTATTTTAGTTAATCTGTTCAGAGTCAGCAAGTATGCATGTGTGTATATCCCAGCCTATTTTAGTTAATCTGGTCAGTGCCAGTCTGCCTGTGAATAGCCTATATTATTGCACTTTAATAAGGTTAGGGACCCTTATTTCTTTTTCCATCATTTTTGTTTTGCACCTGTTTAATTGAGAGACAGAGACAGCTGCAGTGAATTTTCATTTTATTATTTCAAGAGGACTGTTTCTTTGGACATGCTGATTTAAGGCCTAGTTTTGCATAATTTGTTCCCTGTGCTTTGATATTCAGTGTTCAAATGCATGTTGTCTGCTTGTATTCCAGAAGACAAGGTTTGTGGGGGGCCTTAATGGCCATATGCTACTCGGAAGGCAACTGCTGGCTAATTTCATAACCGCTTTGGAGTCAGAGGAGAATAATCACTTACCTTCTCAGAGGAAAAATACAGAAAT